TATATGGAAGCATTTCGACATTAAGAATATGGGTGAATACCATGATTTATATTTGAAAACTGATGTATTATTATTGACCGACATTTTTGAAAATTTTAGAGATGTGTGTATGAAATATTATGGATTGGACCCTGCTTATTATTATACATTGCCTAACTTTGCTTTTGATGCTATGCTTAAAATGACTGGTGTAGAGATTGATTTAATATATGACCAAGAAATGTATGAAATGATAGAAGCGGGACTTAGAGGAGGGATGTGTATGGTTTCTACTAAAAAGGTTGAAGCAAATAATAAATACATGGGAGAAGATTATGATAAAAAGAAAGAAAGTAGTTATATTAACTATTTAGACGCTAATAATTTGTACGGGTTAAGCATGATACAAAAACTGCCATATAAAAATCTAAAATGGAATGATACATTAACACAAGAAGACATAATTAATTATAAGAATAATAATATTGGATATATTCTAGAAGTGGATTTAGAATATCCTAGAGAATTACACGATTTACACAATGACTATCCAATGGCACCTGAGGTTATGAATGTTAAAGCCAACATGCTGTCAGATAAACAAATTGAAATTTATGAATTTTTAAATCATAAAAAACCTACGGATGAGAAAACAAATAAATTAGTATTGAATTTAAATGATAAAGAAAAATATGTAATCCATATAAGAACCTTACAATATTATTTATTGCAAGGGTTAAAACTGAAGAAAATTCATAGAGCAATTAAATTTGAACAAAAAGAAGTTTTAAAACCTTACATTGAGTTTAACACTGAGAAGAGGAAGAATGCTAGAAATGATTTTGAGAAAGATGTTTATAAATTGATGAACAATGCCATATTTTGAAAAACAATGGAGGATAAGCGAAAACATTTAGACTTTGAAGTTGTGAGTGATGAAACTAGATATATGAAGTGTGTAAGTAATCCTAACTTCAAACATAGTCATATCATTAATGAAAATTTGGATGGAGTTGAAAAGCAAAAAACAAAGTTGAAACTAGACAAACCTATATTTATTGGGATGAGTATTTTAGATTTGAGTAAGCAACACATGTATAAATTTTATTATGACGTTATGAAACCTAAATATGGAGATAATATTAAAATGGTATATACTGATACTGATAGTTTTGTATTTCATACTAAAACCAATGACATTTATGAAGACCTGAATACAATTAAAAAATAATTAGATTTTTCAGATTATCCTAAGGAACATAAATGTTATGATGATAATAACAAGAAAGTATTAGGTAAAATTAAGGATGAATTAAAAAGTAAAATAATAACAGGGTTTATAGCTCTTCGTCCTAAATGCTATGCTTACTCAGTTTATGGTGATGATAAAAAATATAAGAAATGTAAGGGCATAGCAAAAGGCACAGTAAGACGTCAAATGAAATATGAAGAGTTTGAGACGGTTTTAAAAACTAATGAGGTTATACATAAGTCATTTAATAGTATTAGAAGTAAAAACCACATAATTTTTAGTATAACAACTAAAAAGATTGCTCTTAGTAGTTATGAAAACAAAAATATTGGATAAATAATATCAACTCACTTGCTTACGGCCATTATAAAATAAATTCTTTGAAAACGACTTAAATAAATATTTACTTAATATATTAAGAGGAAAAATGACACTGTTTAATTATAGTAAGTGTGAATGTTGTAATAATAAAAAGAATGATATCAATTTTACATTGTATAACTTATTACCTGCTAATCTGTGTAGTAAAATAAGTGAGTATAATGTATATTGTAACCAGTGTTGTATAACTAGAGACCTTGAACAGTTTTTTGTTGAAGAACATAAGGATATGGGATATACAAAGTTTCAATTAAAATTGAAATTCTTTATGAGATATCAAAAACGATTTCCTGTATGGTTTTACCATAAAATTGATAGAGAGTCATTTGAAAAAGAAATTGATGAGTTTTTTAATAATAAAGATTTGATTAAAAGGTTTGGAGGAACAGACGCAATTAAACCATATAAAGCATTTGCTAAAAAAAATCGAGACATGTTTGAAGCGGTTGATTGGCATTTATTAAGTAAAGATAAAATAAACGAGGTGTTGAATGAATTTAGAATAACTAAATATCATGTATGGTATTACTACAACACTAAATATCATGTATGGCTACTAGTTAATTTGTTTTTCTGGGAATATATTTATTCAATAATAGGAAAAGACAATATCAAATATATAGACATTGGTGATATTGATAAATATGTAGATTACATATTTGAAGACATATTTCCTGACTATAAATTTAACCCATAATCATTAATCATAATATAATAATAACATGTAAAATCTTATATGTTATAATTATACTGAACTTGTGGTTTGTTTCTTAATTTTACTTAATGCCTTAAAAATGACTTAAAGAAATAGTGCCTTAATATAATAAGAGGAAAATGAACGGTGATAAAATCAATAATTATATCAATAAAAAATGCTATGATTGTTGTCACTTCAAAAAAGAAAATATGGAATTGTATAAATTAAATTTACCTAATGAAACAGTGAATAATATTATTAATTATTCAATGGATGAAAAAGACGAATGTGAAAATTGTCAGGAATGGAGAGATAATCAATTTTTAATCAAATGTCTGTTGGGAATAAAAAGAATGCATAATAGAAATGTAGAAGATGATATTTTAATATTTCTATCTATAAATAAAATACCACCTTACGATTGTGTTAAACAGTTTCTTAAAATCAGTAAGAAAAATATGACATGATTTATGATATATTATGGATGTTGGGTTATAGTCAAGAGAAAGGAGAAGATGTTAAAGAAAATATCAAATTATTTATTGAAAGTAAAAAGTTTAATATTCAAAATACATTGAGAGATATTAATATTATTTTTAAAATGATGTATGAAAGAAGTAAGACAAATCAATTAAATTATTATCCTGTACTGAAATTATAATCATACTATAATAATAACATGTAAAGTTTTATATGTTATAATTATACTGAACTTATGGTTTGTAAAGATTGAAATATTTTATTTTCTTAGTTTTCTTGTGTGCTTAGGCTGTTTGGTTTTGTGGAACTATTAGGTGAAATGTGTTTTAGTCATATTTTTAAGTCTGAGTGAAAAATTCGCGAACAATGAATAAGGTAAAAAGAAAAAATGAAGAATAACTGGAGTTTCTGAGAATTGGAAAAAGACTTCAAACACAAAATGAATAAGGTTAATCAAATAGTAAAATGAAACAGGTTAAGTAGTGAAAAAATAATGAATAAGGTATGCATCTTTCTAGGAATTACTTAGAATGAATAAGGTTGTGATTTATTAACCTTATCTATTATTTGATACATGGTTTTTCAATGTGTTTTTTCATTGCTTGTTAGAAAAAATACAGAAAAGATTTTCAGTTCCTTCAAATCTCCTTTCTGTATTTTCCCCCACCCCCCCACCCCCCCACACCCACCACCCCCACCCCCACCCCCACCCCCACCCACACCCACACCCACACCCACACCCACACCCACACCCACACCCACACCCACACCCACACCCACACCCACACCCACCCCCACCCCCACCCCCACCCCCACACCCACCCCCACACCCACACCCACACCCACACCCACACCCACACCCACACCCACACCCACACCCACACCCACACCCACACCCACACCCACACCCACACCCACACCCCCACCCACACCCCCACCCACACCCACACCCACACCCACACCCACACCCACACCCACACCCACACCCACACCCTCACCCACACCCACACCCACACCCACACCCACACCCACACCCACACCCACACCCACACCCACACCCACACCCACACCCACACCCACACCCACACCCACACCCACACCCACACCACCACCCACACCCACACCCACACCCACCCACCACCCACCCCACCAACCACCCACCACCCCACCCACCCACCCACCCACCCACCCACCACCCACCACCCACCCACCCACCCACCCACCCACCACCCACCACCCACCCCTCACCCACACCCACACCACCCCCACCACCCACGCCACCCCATCCACCCACCCACCCACCACCCACCCTCCCACCACCCACCCACCCACACACCCACCCACCCACCCACCCACCCACCCACCCACCCACCCCCACCACCCCACCCACCACCACCACCCACACACCCACCCACACACCCCACACCCCACACACCACACCCCACACCCCACCCCACCCCACCGCCCCCCCACCCCACCGCCACCCCACCGCCCCCCCACCCCACCGCCACCCCACCGCCCCCCCACCCCACCGCCACCCCACCGCCACCCCACCCCACCCCACCGCCACCGCCACCGCCACCGCCGCCGCCACCGCCACCGCCACCCCACCCCACCCCACCCCACCCCACCCCACCCCACCCCACCCCACCCCACCCCACCCCACCCCACCCCACCCCACGCCACGCCACGCACGCACGCACGCTTGCGCACGCACGCTTGCGCACGCACGCTCGCACACACGCTCAACACAGACAACACACCACACACAGAGAAGCCACACACACACAAACACTAACACCCACCCAAGCAAGCACGCAAGCACGGCACGCACGCGGTTCAACCCAAAATCTGGCTGGATTGTGGATGGCAGATTTGTCCTTCAAGCAAAGTATTACCCCCCTGCAGATTAACCTGGCACTCCCCCAAACACGTTATTTTCTGGATTAGAATCTCCTTGCGGAGTACCCTTTCTTTTGGGGCACCCCATGTCAATATGCGGGCGCTGCGTTGTGAAGTTTGTTACAATATTTGACGTAAATCTACCTGGGGCCTTGGGCGGTCTCAGATTTAGCTGGATTAATGCTTGAAGAACTCCGAAACCAACAATTCAATCTCCTGAGCTTTTCATTGCTGTTTTCGCTGAAGGACCGGGATTTGTTTTGAACCACCAGGGACACATCCACGGCCTTTGCGTGCCATTGGCTTCAGGAGGATGGCTGAGTTGAGGCCAGGATCGCAGCGGCGGGCAAACGGCGAAATCCCCACCTAAAAAGCTTACAGTATTGTCTAACCACACGATCTGACTGCTCGCGAAGCCTCAATAAGGTTGACGGCTGATGCGATAGCAGAGAAACTATCAATAGCAGCCTCAGCTGTTGCCCTAGTCACGCTTCCTGTTTGGTCTGATCGAGGGACCATCCAAGCTCATGCAAGGACACATCATCTGCTGCCCCCAGATCCAACTACCGGACGCCCGCTTGCTAATCCACCAGGCGCTTGTTCGGTATGGGTTCCCCCAGCAGAAGACACGGTAGCATTTGTATATGTTTGAGGTGTTTTGGCAAATCGTGGCCCAGCACTGCTGTAAATTTGTGTCAACGTTTTGCCCTGAACTGCATGAGGCTTACGTTCTGCAATGGAAGCGCTGCTGGGCTGTTCAGACTTATCCTTCAATCTCATGCCAGATGGTAGGGGTTCGACCATGGATTGCGCTGAATAGAGATCCCCCTCATGTTGAATTTGTGAGGAAAAGGCACTTTCTCATCAAAGCGGCGAGGAAAGCTTTTCGCAATTGGTCAGAATCTGCACGAGCTTGGCCAAATTGCCGGGTTTGCACCGGGTTGCATCCTTCTCAACTGTTCCAGATTCCTTATTTTCAGGCAGCCCCCTGTTGGTGCTTTGGATTTGTGGGGAGTGGAACCCCGGTTGGTTTGTAGAGGACAAATCGGAACCCGGACCTGCCAATCCCAACCAACCAGCAGGAAGCTGACAGAAAGTGAGCCCGGCTTCTAATCCGCCAGGCTTCTCGATGAAGCCCCTCGGTGTTTCACCCGCTGGCTGAATGACCGGCCGGACCCGCGGATTTCATTTTAGGCAAAGGGCTGGTGGTAGGCGTGTCTCAAAAGGAACTCTTTTGGGAGCCCTTGTTTTGTGACATACCCCGTCCCCAAAAAGTCGAAGTGCGGGGATTGTCAAGAGGCAGGCCCGGCTCGCATGGAACATGCAGCGCCACTGGCGGAGGAAACCGCAGCTCGTTTTAGGCGGCTGGAGAGAAAAGTTCGACCTTGCACAAATAACTGTCGGGGCCCAAACTCAGTTTCCGTGGCTGGTTCTCGGCGATGTCACCTTTCACTTGAAATCGCTACCGGCAATTTCATGAGCTGATCAGGTCGTATCATGGTGATAGATTTCTTCGGACAAGTTGGCATTTCGCTTGGGGCCGGCGTCGAAGAACTCATGTCCGGTTGACTCAGCAAATTGCTTCCCAAGGCCCATCTACTTGTGTGCGTGTTAGTTGTTTGCCATTTGGTTGGATAATTGGGCTCTAACTTGTTTGGGGAGACGGTTTTCCAGCTAAACCAGAATCAAGTTGATTTTATTTTGTAGGGAGCAATAGCCGTTTAGACCAGGAACGTCCCCTACGGAAAGTGTTTGTTTGTTTGTTCGTGCATCCATTGGTTCGTTCGTTCGTTTGTTTGTGTTTGTTTGTCGTTTAAATAGTTGATGCCTCGCCCAGAGCAAATCAACCTTTTGACCCTATGCAATGAGGGAAACCCGGAGACGGAGAGTCCAAGGGAAAGCCAGAGACGGAAAGTCCAAGACCTTTTTATTTGACAGGATATTTGGCTCAAAGTTTTCCTACCTTCCCTTGTCAAGGTCTCCAAGGCTGTGTCTTTTGGGTCCTTCAGCGACTTTGTCCAGGTTTCGGTTCTCGCCGAATCTGCGTTAAACCCCGCCCCGTTCGCAGCCCTTGGCTTCGGGTCCCGGTTGCGGGCGACCTTTGGTTCGTTTCGCCCACCGCAGGCCGACCGCGGCGAAACCTGTTGACGAACATATCCCTTTGCAACGCACACGGAAATGCCCACTTGACTCGTCATCCCAAAGAAGCTGCTCAACTTACCAAACTGATGGCATTTTGTTGCCACACAATTCACCTTACTTTTGGACTGGTACCCTTTTTCTCTGGTGTGTCCATTGCCAGGTCTTTGAAAACCAGACAGCCCAGACTTTTGTTTCGTTCTTTGGGTGCAGCTCCAAACCCTCGTTTTGTGGCGCAAAGCGCGTGCTGGCGCCAGAGATGCAGGGAATGAGAAATGGAATGACCTGAATAGACAATCCAACTGGTGGTGTCCTTGCAGGGAATCCCGAAACGGTTCATTCCCAACACCCGGAACCGTCATTCCCTACTGAGCACCAGCAAGTTTGAGGGTATTGGTGGGAAGCAAAAGCGAGAGCTTACGTTGCGATTTTCTTTCGTTTGCCAATGGGGATTGTGGATTTGGATTGGGCAACACTGTATTTTGAACAGCCCTGAAAAGAAGTTTCCACAGATTCCGGGAAGATTTCTGAACGGAGAAGTTTGTTCGCCGGAAGCCGTTTCTCCTGATGCTGAAGGAGGATTGTGGGATATTGTGGGCGTCTTCGGAGTTGTGCCCTTCTGGCTGTTTTCGCTGATAGGTTTTGTGACACATTGCAGTCCTGGCTGGGATCCCAAAAAGAACCCAGTTTGTTTGAGCGCCAAGGGATGTTTTTCGGACACTTCCAATGAGCTGCCAGCTTGTTTCGCGAGATTGCACCAATTGTTGGTCAAGTTTGGCCCTGACCACAAGCTCCTTGATTTGTTTTGCTCTGCCTGGTCAGCTTATCTTAAATGGGTGGTTGGGGTTGGTGGCTTGGCGTTCAAGGCTGGCCCCCAATTTGAAAGTAGCAGGGGGTCAAATCCTTGAGTCGCTGACAATATCTTTGCAAACTGCTTTGGGGAAGGCGGGAAGAGGGCAACCCAAACTCTCCGCCATACCATGGACACGCCGGGCCCCAAATGTCCCATGCCGCCCATGCCCTGCTTGTCCACTGGCTATCCGGCGTGGAATTGAGGTCAAGCATTATGGCGCTAGGCCGGCGTGGGGGGGGGGGCATGGTGGAGCCCCATTTTTGGGGCGGTCTTCCTTTGCTTTCACTTAAAGCCGCAGAAAGGATACCCTCCAGAAAGATATGGCGTTGCCATTTGAGCACAAAGCTCTGCCAGACGCCCAACCTCGAAATCCTTGGCAGGGCATGTTTTCTGGACGACTTGCTGGGTCGTGCGGTTTTGGGCTCATTATTGAATGGAAACAAGGTACAACTACCTGCCTACCTGCCTGCCTGCCTGCCTACCTACCTGCCTACCTGCCTACATGCCTACCTACCTACTGCGAGGAGTTCGGGGCCCTGTTGAAACTCTGGCTTGGTTTGCTGCCATTTGGTGTCCAAGCAACCGCCGCGACAAGACAAGGGGTACGAAAGTGGGGTCCGTGTTGCTCAATTACTTCAGTGAAGGTGTTGGTTTCGTGCAGCATCTTGTTTCGCAAATGTTCTTTAAGCTGGTCCGAATCGAATCAGAACCTCCCACTGAAGCCACTCCTGCGGAAACCGCGCGTGGACGCCATGGGGCAGGCGCCTGTGCCGCTCGGCATGAAAGAAGATCGCATCCGATTTCAGTAGCTATGGCTGGTTGCCAAATCGCCAAAAAAAGCCTGTAACCCTTACAATTGGGTAAAAGTGGATGGCGCAATTGCACCAGCTCAGTTTAGTTTTCGCCTTTACAGCACTTGCTCACATGAAGGGAATTGTGCCATGTACTTTCAGCCTGGCCTGACGTACATTTCCAAAACGAATCCTGAAGGGGATGCAGCAAGTTTTGATCACTTCCTATTAAACACCCAGGTTGGCTTTGCTTTCAGCTCCTAAGCTCCATCAGACCATGTGTTCTTCGTGAGTCAGCCAAAACAAGGTGCTCAATTTGAAGCGACCAAACAGGGGTCCAAACCGACCCTAAAAAGCTGTTCAGGCACAACCATATGCTATTTCTGAATTAACCCCACAGGGCCCTCGGAGTTGTAATTTAAAATTTGGATAATCAACTGTGGTCAGTCCTCAGTTGCAACGGAGGTGTGTCAAGATACAGACCACTATCCAAGAAAGAGCAAGGTCATGACTGGTGGATTCCTGGCAGCATTTTGCCACAACTCCTGCAAGATCCACCGACATGGTTGGCCCCCCCTTGCGCCTTGCTTTCCCAGAAAAACCAGCCAAGGTGGGCAAGGTGGGGAATTATCGCCAAAACGGGGGAGGGGGGTGATGAATCCTACAGGCCCGCATGTGCCAATCTAAAACCACGCCAAAAGAAAGGACGGTCCAACCGTACATCTGCCTATTTCAGGGCGGGGGTCAAATCGAGCTCATTGAGAATTTGCAGATGCTTTTTTGACAGGCGCACGGGGCAGCATGCAGTTCAGCTTGACGCCCTTTAAGGCACCAGTGACATTCCAAGATGATCTCTGTCCAGGGTTCCTCTTTGTTTCGGTTCCCGCGGAGCAAGATGAGAACTACACAGAACGCCCTAAGAAGTGCCCCCCTTTCTCGTGGTGGGGAAAACACATTGTTTTGGCCCACGTTCTGTGACGCTGCAAGGCCCACTTTACAGCGGAAACAACAGTCATGGGGAATGGACCACTTTGCTATGAACGAGGGGGTATTTCCCGCGACCATGTGCATCCCTGCTTCAGCTTTGGTTTATCCTTCTCCCCGCATGCTTCCCATTCAAGGGGCCAGCCTTGCCTTCCTGTTGGACAGGCCAAATATGGCCAGGTGACTTATGTGTTAAAACAGGGTGGGAACCCCACAGGTGGTGTCCTTGTCTTTTGTTGTCCCTTTAAACCAAAAAAAAAAAACGGGTGCACACCTCTGGGCCCCGTTCGGGCGAGGAAAGCGGCGTGCACCTGCTGCTTCAAGCGGGCGGACGAGCACCAGGCACGCGATTTGACCTGTGAGTTCAAATGGGCCGGGAACAGCAGGATGCGAAAGAGAGAAAAGGAACGAAAACAAATGTTATTTTGCTGAAGAGTCTGAATAGTATCTGTTTGTTTGCACAGCAGGATGCGAAAAACCAACACGTTCTCTGGCTGATGTTTGCCCAGCTGGTTTTTGTAGTTTGCAACGTGATGTATTTATCAACCATGTTA